TCACTGTTATGCAATCCCTCCACCCCAAGTCCACTCCACTATACAGCCTTCACTCTGGACTTCTGTAATGACAAGAATACCCATTCATATGTCCCTTTTAAACAGTTCACTCCCTCATCTGTTTCAGTGCAATATACATCATTCCTCCCCTCTGTTTCTGTTTTCCCTCAACCATGATGTCAGTCCTGTTTTACAGCAGTGGCCCTATGCAATATTTCTCCTTTTGTGACTGAGATATTTCACTCAGCATATCTTCCAGGGTCATCCATTTTGCATAATATTTCATGAGTTCCTTGTTTTTCAGTGCTGCACAGTATTCCATTGTGTGACTATACCAGAGCTTCTCTGTCCATTTGTTTGTTGATGGGCACTTGGATTGTTTCCAGCTCTTTGCTATTGCGAACAAAGCCACAATAAGCATGGGTGTGCATATATCTGCTTGGGTGGCAGTTACGGTTTCTTTTGGGTAAATTCCCAGCAATGGAATTGGGTCAAATTGTATTTCTATTTGCACCTTTTTGAGAAAGCGCCATACAGCCTTCCATAGTGGTTGCACCACAGTCTCTTCTTTTGTGGTAGTTTTATTCACATCTTCTACCTCTGTACAGCTGAGGTAGTATGCTGGGAAATTTCTAGGAATTTTTCTATCTCATCTAGATTTGAGTACATAGTCTTTTGTAGTAATAAGTGCCTTTATCTTATTTATACCTGTTGTAATGTCTCCACTTTCATTTCTTAATTTGATTGATTCTTCTAGCTTTTTTCTTTTATCATTCTAGCCATTCGTTTGTGTATTTTATTGATACTTTTAAAAAGAGTGATTGATTGGTTTATTCTTTTATTTCTGCTCTGATCTTTATTCTTTCCCCTTTTTTTGGTAGCTATAGATTTCTTTTTTTTAGTTGAAAAATATAGTCTTTTTTATTATTATTGTGATCTTTATGAAAATTGACAGAAAAGTTGGATTTTCTTTTATTCATTGTTGAACATTTTCCTCCCTACCCACCCCAGTTCACTTTCTAAAAACTATATTCATTCATTGTTGCATAATTTACTCCCTCCCCTGCCCGTAGTCCACTTTGCTATGCACCTCTTATTCTGGACTGTTTTTGTACAAATAATGCCTAATCATGTATTTCTTTTAAGCAGTTCTTTCCTTCATCTTTCTAATGCAGTGTTCATCATTTATCCTCTATTAGTTTCCCCCCCAACCCCCATGTAATCCCTGTTTTATAACAGTGGTGTTATATAGTATTTGTCCTTTTGTGACGTAGGTATTTCACTCAGCATAATATCCTCCAGGGTCACCTGTTGTTGTTATGTGCCATCGAGTCACCTGCTACTCATATCGACCCTATGTACAACAGATCTAAACCTTGCTTTATCCTGTGCCAATTTTATTGTCTCTGATACACCTACCCCCATTTCCCCAGTCACTAAATCAATCCATCTCATCGAGGGTCTTCTTCTCTTGCGCTGTCCCTCCACCTCCCAAGCATGACATCCCTCTCCAAGCACTGGTCCCTCCT